CTCCTCATATGGCTTTGCCTTTTGCCTTTAGTTTTCTTGGTGTTCGGGATCTTCTTTCTGTGGAACAGATTTGCAATCTCTGCATTTAACTGTTAGAAGTGATCCTATTCTGTGGAAGAGCATCCATATAGATCAATCATTGAATGAGAGAATTACTGATGATGTTCTTTTGCAATTAACTAGTAGGGCACAAGGTAACCTACAATGTTTGAGCTTGTTGGAGTGCCCAAGGAACCTTAATGATGGTTTGAAGCGTGTACTTGAAAGTAATCCCAGGAATCATCAACAGATCTGAGATCTTAGTGTGTGTATGTATATGTATATGTATATGTATACATGTATATGTGTGTGTATGTGTGTGTATATATATGTATATGTGTATCATGTCTCCGTCTCTATTGGTGATGACCTTAGATCTGAAACATATTGTTGTTGTTGATGATGATGATTGCAACAAATAGATATATCTACAAAAAATTTTACAGATAAAAATTATACAGATATGAAAAATTGTACAAATAAAATTTGAATAGCAAATTTGTACAGATAAAAATATTGAATAGATAAAAAATTGGACAGATAGAAAATTTACAAAGAAAAATTTGAATAGATAGAAAAAAATTTGAACAGATAGAAATTTTTTTTGAAAAGATAGAAAAAAATTTGAACAGATAGTCAATGAAAGTCAAACAGATAAAAAAAAGTCCAGGCATACAATTGGAAATAAAATGTCCTCCAGGACTTCTTATCAAATTATTTCACAAAGTGCGGACCTCTCACCAATTAAAAAAAAAAAAATCGCTGGACATACTGTCTTAAACAATTGGTAGAGTGGATTTTTCACCAATTCTCTCTAACAATTTTTGTTACATATGTACTTTATATGTAAGAATTTAAAATAAAATTTTCAAGATTTTTCCATGTTAGTTTTTTCATATCGTTTTTCCTAAATTTTGTTACCGTAATTGCAAAGTAATATTATTTGAAAATAATTATTTTTTATATTATTTAAAAATAATTCATAATTTGGAAAAAGGAAACCTTACACCTACAAAAGTCAATTTGAAAATAAAATTAATTTTAAATTAATCCATTAATAATGACTTTACAAATTTTCTTGAGTTATATTGCTTCCAAAGACTAATACGAAAAGATTTTTAAAATTGTATTTTAAGTTTTGGAATGGTTAATATTGAAAGATTTAGGTGTAGAGTTTCCTTTTCTAAATTAAGAATTATTTATAAATAATACAAAAAAGAATTATTTACAAATAATATTACATTTCAATTATGGCAATACATTTTAGGGAAAAAAAATATATAATAACAATTATCATATCTAAAGTGACACTTTTAGAAAATTTAAAATTTAAACTTGAATTTATATAAATCTAATTTTGGACCATCAATCATTGCAAGACATAATGATATGTGAAACATTTAATGATTTAAAATTAAAAATATATATATTTTAAAATGTTAAAAATAGAAACATTTGTCTCGTAACTTTTAATTTATCTAAGATAATTATATAGTTTTAATTTATGTCTTCCAAAGTAACTTTTTTATTTTTTATTTTTATGTATTCAGTATTACACAAAAAATTTAATTTTGCATGTGTTATTATAGTCCATATTCGGCATGATTTATTCAGTCATATATATATATATATATATTAAGAATTTGTATTAAACATTCAAAGTAAATTTTTTTTATATTTAGGAGTACACAGTTTTTAAATATATTTTTTTAATAATTTAATTTTGCATAATTTGATTACCAGTGTAATCGGTTACCAAAAAGAGGGGCAAAGGAAATCAAAGGAGTCCAGGGGGTGTGAAATTAATATATATATATATATATATATAAAAGAAAGTAAAACGTAAAAACATTCATCTCTTTTAATTTATTTAAAATAATTTTGTCATGTACGGGCACAAAATATTCTTCCCGTATAATCCTGTTGATCAAGTCTGCGCTCCTCCGTACGTCGTCACTTTACTCCCTGAAAATACAAACGTGAGCTAGTCGGCGGGTGTGTGCCAGATATCTCTCCGATGCCTAAGTCAGCAAAATAGACAAATAGACAAAAAGCTCTGTGTGTTTGGGAATCAGAGTTGTGTTACCTCTCCATAGGTGATGTTATGAGCTTTTATAGGTTTCGCGTGGCACAATCCTAGTAGGACTCTTACTCCTCTGTGTAGAGTCCTCCTAGGAGTTATATTCTTAAAAGATAATGCTTATCCTTCAACACCCCCCTCACTACTTAAACCAAGTGAGATGGTTTTACCATGGTCAGATTCCAATATGACCGAGATAAGCATGGCTATGCTGAGCCGCAGAGTAGACCGAACTATAGCTAGTCTGGTTCTTTCTTTTACTGCTCTTACATCGGTTCCTCCTATACAGACCATGGCGTGATTAGACCGAGTTGACAATTAGCATGGTTCTGATCGAGCTAGCTGCGGTATTCCATGACCGGGCTAACTCTGAATATGGCAACCTAGCGACCGAGCTATCCGCAATGCTCACCTAGATCGAGATAACAATATGCTCTCTGGGACCAGACTAATTAAGGCCTTCTAGGACCGGACTAATTTTAAGGCCTTTTTACTCAGCCCTTCGTACTGTGACCCATAACGGCCCATTACCCAGCTCGGCACAATTTATATATAAATTACCCTCTCAATTGCCCCTTAATTCCATCTGCATAGCATGATAGGGATTACCTGTTACCAGCCGAGTTGAAAACTTTATCCTTACGATCGAGCTAAACTCTTTAGCCTTTCCAGCCGAGCTTAAAAACCTTTTAGCCTTTCCTAGCCGAGCTAAATTCTTAAGCCTTTCCAGCCGAGCTAAATTTACACCGGGCTGTTCCTGTTTGATCAAAACGTCTCTTCAATCACAGAGACTGAATCGCTTCTCATTCCAAGGATACGCGGCATGCTCTTATTGGCTAAAGGCAGCTGTCACGCCGTCTTCGTACCTCGTGTTTTTTGAACAATTTACACCTTTTTCCCTTCTCTTTTCACAAAACAAGCCCTAATGCTTTGAATCATTCACTTTACTATTCAACTTCTCTCTCTTGCGAGTCTCTGACACTCCTCGACCTTGAGCTTGCTGAGTCCATGTTCTTCACTGTCTTTGCTTCCATCTTCAGTTTCCTCCTCTTGACCTTGTAAGCTACTCAAATCTGTCTTGTTTTTGTTGTCTTCACATTTGTTTTTTACAATTCATGGCATATTGTTTTGTGTTTTTGCAAAACACATTTTCTGCTTGGTCATGCGTTTTTCTGGAAAAAACTTAGTAATAGAATCACTTGAACTTACGAAATAACCTGAGAAACACTGGTTTCGATCCAAAATCTCCTGTAACTGAACTAGGAAGTTGTTTGCAGCCGATGTCAGTCTAGCCAGACTAACCAACCGAACTAACTCTTCATGCTATACAAGTAGTTTCAACAAGTTAAACCATCTTTTCACTTAATTTAGCCGAGCTATCGATCCGTACTAAGTTTGCGCAATAGTATGCTTGAAAGCCTTGACCATGACCGAGCTTACAACTCGGGGTTAAACCAGCCTTCTTAGTCAAAACCGAACTAAGAATGCTGCCCCTATAGGCTTAACTGGGATAATAAATCCCTTGCTCAAACCAAGCTAGCAAATCTTCGCTTCAACCGAGCCAACGGACCCCTTGCTCAAACCGAGCTAAGACGCGAAGCAATTCACATAGCCGAGCTAGGACTTCATTTATCTTGCCTGTGTTTCTTTTAGCACGGTCCAACGATCTGTGCTTAACCTTTGTTTTTTTACTTTGCAGACTTAGGTTGCCCAGACACGCTTTTGAGCGCTCAACCAAGCTACTCGGCACCATTCTCCGACCGAACTAACATCCAAGTATAATTTATTCATAACTTAAACCATAAATGGGAAAGTATAGGTTTTTAGTAAACACACCTAGTGGTATGGCCGAATTTCGAAAGGATTATAACATCCCTGATGATGTTCACCTCACCTTAGCCGACCTAGATATCACACCATGGGGAAACCAAGGCTTTGTCCCTTTTAATGTTATTTCCATTGTGGAGTGCAGTCTACACTTCCCAGTACAGCCCTTACTCTGTGAATTCCTCAGGCAAACCAAACTCTGCCCTACCCAACTTTCCACCAATTCTTACCGCATAATAAACGGAATAGCTGAGCTAAACCACCAGGCTGGCCTTAACCTTGGTCTTGTCGAGCTCTTCCATCAGTATTCCATAGGATTAGCCGAAGATGGCTGGGTTTATTACTTACGAATAAAGCGCCGGCGTAAAAAAATAATAAAGGACACACCGGACAAAGACTTGAACGATGATGATTTTTTCTGGGTATCTGGAAATTTTGAAGACCACCAAGCCCAGATCCCAGGCCACAGAATAAACTGGAACAAGGGTGTAGTCTGTAGGGTTACCCCGGCTTTACTACATTCTTCTTGTTATTTCGGTTTTCTGATTGTGAACCGAACCTAATGTTGTCTTCTTTTTTGCAGATAGGAACTTTCTTGAGTCCCAATATAGTTACCCCAACTTGAATGTGCTTCACGCCGCACTGCGACATCTAGATCGGAGTTGGACTAACCTGCTGAATTTTGAATCGACCTACCGATACAGTGGAAAACGAAGGACCAGGGTAACTGACTTTCTTTTAGAAGCTTCTCCCAAACCGGACCCATCCTTGCCTCAAATCAACCTTATCCCTCTTACTGCCAAATAAGAAATGGCCAAGAAGAGAGCCGTGCGAGCCCTTCTCACCGAAACAAACCCAACCGAGGTACCACCAGCCGGTCAACCTCAGGAGACCGTGGTGGCCTTTCTATCTCACCAACCATCATCATCCCGCCAAAGGAAGCGTGCCCGGACTACTCCAACGGAGCAACGTCTGGTTGATGAAGACGAAACCGTGGTTCCTCAAACCACTCCACCAAGCCCTCCACCGAGCCCATAACCGGAGAGCTCTGACCGAGCTACCTCCTCCAAGTGGGCTCCAAAAATCACCTTTCAGAACCGTGCTATCACGGATTCGGACTCAGTGGTCTCAGAAAAAGACCACCTGATGGCCTTCAACTTGGCTAAAGGTGTTTGTCTTCCAGCCGACATGAGGCACCACGACCACCTGACCGAGCTGAAGGCCCTTCGCTCGTCCACAAAATCCATGGTGCTGGTAAGTTGCCCTTTTACTTTATTTTTTCTAAAGAAATTTGTCCAACTTTCAGCTCGGTTATACTGAAAAAGTGTCTTACCATCCTTTTGCAGGCCATACAGAAAAACCACATCGCTCACAAGCGAGTGTTGGAACTAAGGAAAGCAACAAGGCAGGCCATGGCAGAAGCTGAAGCCAAAACGGCCAAGCTAGAAGCATCTCAACAGAAGACCGCCGAGCTAGAGGCCAAGGTCACCCGTCTGACCGGACTAGTTACCTCGGCTAACGCTGATAAACAAAGGTCCCTGACTGTGATGAAAGATAAATACCTGCGTGAGCTGACCAAGCTTGAAGGCAAGAAGAACGCTGAGATCGCCGAGCTGCAAAAGAAGGCAGATGATGCGGATGCTCAAGGTTTCAAGGAGGGAGAGGCTCTTTACATTAAGCAATATGAGGCAGCCAAAGACTTGTTCTTTAAATGCAGATGGAGGGCAGCCGTGCCCAGCTCGGTCATGGACCAGAGACCGAGGTTTTCAACCCTCCTCCGTATTTTATCCCGGATTTGATGACGGAGTACGCTGCGTCCGTTCAGCAACAGTTTCTTCAGTCTGAGGATGATGAAGAAGAAACCGAGCGAGATAATGCTTCGGTCGTTCTAAATAATGCCCCGGTCGGTAATGAACCTGTTGTTCAGTCAACTGAGTTGGAGCCACCGGTTGAAGATCTGACAACCGAGATACCAGATGAGACCGGGCTACCAGATGAAACCGAACTCCGAGTTATACTTGACGCGGAAATAGACGATCTGTTTGCTTGATTCTGTACCTTTTTTTTTTTTTATACCTTTGGACAATTATAACCGGGCTGAAGTAACATCCTTCTGTACTTGTTAACTTTGAATGAATGTTTCTTTTTTGTTCAAACTCTTATTTCAGTTGATCTTTATGCTTGTGCTTTTACTTTCTAACTGATGTCTTGCATGAGGTTCAGCATTCTCTTGCCGAGATGTTTTATCCCGGTCTTAACATTGCAACTATAAGTATACCTACCAATCACTCTTTAGCCGAGATACCTACCTCGGCTGAAGAATACAAAAAGTTGGTTTAATCCAGCCAACCACTCTTTAGTCGATGTCCTTACTTCGGCTGAAGAGTACCAAGAGTTGGTTTAGTCCAGCCAACCACTCTTTAGCCGAGATCCTTACCTCGACTGAAGAGTACTAAGAGTTGGTTTAATCCAGCCAACCATTCTTTAGCCGATATCCTTACTTCAGCTGAAGAATGCTAAGAGTTGGTTTAACCCATCCAACCACTCTTTAGCCGATATCCTTACTTCGGCGAAAGAGTACTAAAAGTTGGTTTAATCCAGCCAACCATTCTTTAGCCGAGATCCTTACCTCGGCTGAAGAATACTAAGAGTTGGTTTAATCCAGCCAACCACTCTTTAGCCGATATCCTTACTTCGGCTAAAGAGTACTAAGAGTTGGTTTAATCCAGCCAACCTCTAGATTGGTTTTTCCAGCCAACCCAGAGTAAAGCGTTCGATTATTCCGACCAAACGTCCTGCAGCCTGGATCCTTATCCTAGGCTTAGGAGGGTGTTGGTTTTTCCAGCCAACCTTTTAGATTGGTTTTTCCAGCCAACTTAAAGTAAAGTGTTTGGTTATTTCGACCAAACGTCCTGCAGCCTGGATCCTTATCCTAGGCTTGAGAAGGGTGTTAGTTTTTCCAGCCAACCTTTAGATTGATTTTTCCAGCCATCCTAAAGTAAAGTGTTTGGTTATTCCGACCAAATGTCCTGCAGCCTAGATCCTTATCCTGGGCTTAGGAAGGGTGTGTTGGTTTTTCCAGCCAACCTCTAAGTTGGTTTTTTCGGCCAACTATGCTTTCAATTCCCTTAGTCTACTAAAACAACTTTTACAGAATAAAAATACTTATGCTAAAAAGAAAACTACTTGTTTTATTGGGGAAAATAAAAATTACAAGTATTCTAAAGAAAAGCTAAAAATAAAGTAGTTTGAGATTGGCAGTGTTCCATGGTCTGGGAATTGCTTTGCTGTCTTCGTCTTCCAAGTGGTAAGCACATTTTCTTGCTAATTCGACCACTTTGTAAGGTCCTTCCCAATTAGGCCCTAATTTGTCATCTCCTGGTACCAAGGTGTTTCCCATCACTTTGCGCAGTACCCAATCTCCGATTTTGAATTGCCTTGGATGTACTGTCTTGTTGTATTTCCTGGATAATTCTTGTTGGTATGAGGCAATGTGAACCAGTGCTTTTTCTCTTCTTTCTTCGGCGAGGTCGAGCTCCAATGCTATGGCTTCTCCATTCAAGTCTGGATCAAAATTTTCGCTTCTAATTGTGGGGAGGCCAACTTCCAGCGGGATTACTGCTTCCATGCCGTAGGCTAAGGAGAATGGTGTTTCTCCTGTTGATCGTCGAGGTGTGGTGCGGTAGGCCCATAAAACATGAGGAAGTTCCTCAGTCCATTTGCCTTTTGTTCTTTCTAACCTTTTCTTCAGTCCATCCAACATGACCTTGTTTGATGCTTCCGCCTGGCCGTTGCCTTGGGGATACGCCGGTGTAGAATTGTAGAACTCTATTTTGTATTCTTCACAAAAGTCTCTAAAGACTCTGCAATCAAACTGAGTGTCGTTGTTTGATATTAGGGCTTTAGATACGCCGAATCGAGTAATGATATTCTGCCAGACAAACTTCTTCACATCTTTTTCCTTGATTGATGTTAATGCTTCTACTTCCACCCACTTTGTGAAGTAGTCTGTTGCTGCGAGAAAGAACTTCCTGTTACCGGGTGCTGTTGGAAGTGGTCCTACTATGTCCAAGCCCCACATTGTGAAGGGCCATGGGCTGGTCAATGGTAGGAGTTCTCTAGCTGGCTGATGTATTTGGTGTGTGAACTTCTGACATTTCTCGCACTTCTTCACATACTTCTCCGAGTCTGCTTGCATGTATGGCCACCAGTATCCTTGTGAAATGGCTCTGTAGGCTAACGATCTTCCTCCTTGGTGGCCTCTACACACGCCTTCGTGTATCTCGAATAAGAATGCTTCCGCTTTGCTGGGGTAGACACACTTTAGGTAAGGTCCTAAGAATGACTTTTTGTATAATGCCATAGATGGGGAGAGCCAAAATCGCTGTGACTTTGCTCTAATTTTGTTGGCTTCTTTCTTTTCTTCCAGTAAGACGCCGTCTTTTAAGAACAGTACGATGGGATCCATCCATGAGGGGCCTAGTTCGGCGCAACATACCTCTTCTGCTTCGGGGTCTTCAATGCTTGGTCTTGGTAGGTAGTCAATTAGCAATGGGTAAGGGATGGATGTATCTGCCATTGAAGCAAAGCCTGCTAGTTCGTCTGCTCTACTGTTTTTCTCCCTGCCAATCTGTTCTATCCTTACTACTTCAAGTTTCTTGATCTCTGTTCTGACCAATTCTTGGTACTTGGCCATATTGTCATCCTTCGTTTCATAGTCGCTAGAAATTTGGTTTACCACCAGCTGTGAGTCGCTGTAGACCATTAGCTCGGTGGCCTTCATGTAGAATGACCTGCAAGAAGCGCTTCATATTCAGCTTCGTTGTTTGATGCTGGGAATCCAAGGTTGACTGCTTGCTCCACAACCAGACCGTCTGGTGAGATGAGGACTATGCCAAGTCCCGCACCATGCCGGTTGGATGCTCCGTTCACAAAGAGCTTCCACATCTCTCCAACGAATAATTTCCAGCAAGTGGAGGGATTAGATGATGCCGTGGGGTCAAGAATGTTGCTAGTGTCTTCTTCAAGGTCCATACTTGCTGTCTGCCCCTCGTTATCTGATTGAACCAAGTCTTTATTTGTTGGTGAGTCTTGGCTTGGTGTAGCATGGTTCGCTTCTGCCTTGCTCTCTTTACTCTGGTCTACCTTGGGGTCCGACTGAGTATCCTGCACCAGGGGTTGCGCTATTCCGGCGTCAACTTCCATCCCTAATTCGGTTGCATTAGTCAGGTCGACTGGGCAGATATGATGACTTCCAAGAGTAAATTCTGCGACAAAGTCTACCAAAGCTTGGGCCTTTATCGCGGTTCTGGGTTGGAACTTGATGTCGAATTGTCCTAACTCTACTGTCCACTTCAAGATTCGCCCAAAAAAGTTTGCCCTCTGAAACAAAGCTTTTAATGGGAAAGTTGTGAGGAAGACTATGGTGTGGGCGTGGAAGTAGTGCGACAACCTCCTTGAGGCCATCATTAAGGTCAAGGCCAGTTTTTCTAGTGGCACTTACCTCGTTTCGGTGCCCAGCAATGTTTTGCTGACATAATAAATGGGCAGATGTTGGATTCTTTCTGCACGGACCAATACTGCGCTAATTGCGTGTTGAGAGACCACCAGGTACAGGAAGAGTTCTTCTCCAGGTATTGGGGTAACAAGCAGTGGTGGAGAAGACATGTATTCCTTCAAGTTTTCCAGAGCGCGGTTGCATTCTTCGTCCCACTCGAACTTGGCTTTTAATGCTAGGAAAAATGGTCGTAGTCTGTCTGACGACCGGCTAATGAATCGGTTGAGTGCAGCTGCCATGCCGATGAGATGCTGCACTTTTTTTACTGAGTTAGGCCTCTCCAGATCCTGAATAGCTTTGATCTGGGAGGGGTCTGCCTCAATACCCCGGTTGGTCACCAGGAAGCCTAGGAATTTGCCAGATCCTACACCGAACGCGCACTTAGATGTATTAAGGCGCAACTTGTGTCTCTTCAGAATCTGGAAAATCTCACCTAGGTCCCTCAGATGGTCGTTCTCATCCTTGTTTTTGACCACCATGTCGTCGATGTAAGCCTCCATTGTTCTGCCTAACAACGGCTCGAACATCTTGGTGACCATTCTTTGGAATGTTGCCCCTGCATTCTTTAGGCCAAAGGGCATGACCTTATAGCAATACAGTCCTCTTGGAGTTGTAAAGGACGTGACCTCCTGGTCTGGTTCGTACATGGCGATCTGATGGTAGCCTCTGTATGCATCAAGAAAGCTAAGTCGATTGTGCCCTGCCGTTAGGTCTACCAGTTGATCTATCCGTGGTAAGGGGAAGCTGTCCTTTGGGCATGCTTTGTTGACTGTCTTATAGTCGACGCAGACACACTATTTGCCATTCTTTTTTGGTACCACGATTGTGTTGGAAATCCATCTGGAATAGTGTACCTCTCTGATAGCTCTTGCCTCTAGCAGATTTCCCACTTCTTCCGCAACTATTTCGGCGGGGTGGAGTGCCGATCTGTGAGTGCGCTGAATGATTGGTCGGCGGATGGGTGGACATTGAGTTGGTGACAGATGAAGTTTGGATCAATGCCTGGCATGTCGTAGGGTGTCCAGGCGAACACTTCGATGCTAGAGGTTAAGAATTCCAAAACCTCTAATCTCTCAGTACTGGACAACGATGATCCGAGCAAAAAGAATTTATCTGGGTTCTTTTCATCTATTCTTACTTCTACCAAGTCTTCCACCGCTTTTTAGACAGCTGCTTTGCCGATATCTGCGAACAGTTCATTGCTCTCAGATTCTTCCACCGAATGAACATATCCCTTGGCAGTGCGGCTGCCATTAACCGTGACAAAGCATTGCTTGGACATAATTTGGTCTCCAAAGACCTCTT